AATTTTGCTGCTCGAGTCCTAAATAGTAATAAATAATTACTATTGCTTTCCCTTTTGAATTTTAGCTCGTTTGTACTGTATGTGTAAAGGTTCAAGATGATCTGTTTTGGCCACTTAAAGCACTCCTTACATTTTGCTTTTGAAAGTGAAACCCCAAGTGGTTTCACTCACTCTTAGAACCTTTTCCTATCTGCAGTCCTGTACGTATTCATCACTACCATGTGGCACTAGATTTGATTTTCTTGGTCCTATTTCTAGCATTCCATTCTCCATGTTGTTTTCATTAGTTCCCATATAGTCAGTTTTGACTCATAGCAACCCCATATGACAGAGTACAGTTGTCACATGAGGTTTTCTAGGCTGTAACCTTTATAGGCACAGACTGCCATGTCTTTGTCCTGATGGATGGGTTTGAGATGCCAGCTTTTCTGTCAGCAACTGAGTGCTTAACCCTGGTGCCATCACTCTCCTTTCCATGCTGGTATTTTTTTTCAGTTTTATTTTGTTTTAGGCTATTTATTTATCTAGAATATTTGTTAAAATGCAGTTTGTATTTATAGCTTTTTCCCTCTAGGTGGCAACCTCTCATAGGTATTTGAAAGTAATTTGGCTCTGTAGCTATTGCATATCATTAAATGCAAAGGGTAGCAGTAGAGTATAAGATTTGGTGGATATTTTAACATTTCTGGAGTTAGATTCAAGAGTCCTTCAGAAATCTAACACCTCTTGGGTCAAAATATAGTAATGTTAAAGAAATTTAAGTTTGCATGGGATATCAAATTTCATTTGGATACCACATGTGTGCTATTTTTAGGTTATGCTGGAATATTGGCAAAAATTATAATATTGAAGCCCTTCAGAAATTAGCTGTTTTTGTCTACCTTTGTGCTTATTGTTACTGAGTTTTAAAACTGATTTTTGTTTCTACCTCTTTTTTCAAAAAAAAAATTTCACTTAGCATTTTGATGTTTGCTTTTACTCTTTTGCCCTTGTTTAAAGTTAGATGACGAGGTTTTATTTAACATTGAGTATCTGCAATGCTGATAGTGATGCAATAGTAATGTAAAATGTAGAGACACAAAGTAAATTATGTCTTTTACTATTACCAGAATCCTTAGGCTTAAGGGAAAATGACTTGAAGTATCCCCCATATATACACTCAAACTATATTCCTAAGCTCTAGTATAAATGGCTTTTAGTCATTCACTGTGTTTGTATTCATTAAACAATCATTGTGCAAAATACCTTTTTTAATCTTTGCAGTTTTTTCGTAATGGTACTTACAGCTGAAGTGTACGTAATTTTTAGTCACTAGATGTCCAGGGAAATGCATCAGTTTTTCCAGTTTTGCTGTCATGAAATCTATTTAGGATTATCTTCAGTTTATATCCAAAGATTTGAATTATACTAGACTAAAACCAGATTTCTTACAGGGATTTAGTTTAAACCCCACATAATTTTCTAACATTATGATTCCTAGGAATAATGACTGAAAGGGGAAATTATTAGTTGTTTTAATGCCTTGTGCTTTCTTTATATATTTAGGTCATAGTGATGGGAGCCACTAATCGTCCTCAGGATCTTGACTCAGCTATAATGAGAAGAATGCCCACCAGATTTCATATCAACCAACCTGTAGGTGGTCTTGATTAATATTATGAATAGTTAGTAATTCACCTTTTTCCCAGGGTTTACTTGTGATACCAAGAAAGGAATGATTTTCTTTCTAGGATGTACTATATGTGACAGGCAGAGAAGGACTAGGGCAGGAAGTACCATAATTGCTTCTTTGTCTTTTGCACTTTTCCTGACTTTTTCCTAAGTATACTTTCCTAAAATCAGTGCTATTTGCTTCTCTGTGACTCTTCAAAGTATATAATTACCTCAAGTTTGCTTAGCCATTTTAGTGATTAGGATATAGTAAGATACATAAGAAAATCTAATTTTGGTTTAGTTCAGAGAAAAATTTGAGGGAATGAGGTCACTCTATTCTGAAGGCTTGACAGAAATGACTGGGATTTATTTGATTAATTGTTGACAGCTATAAACTACTTCCCTCTGACAGAATTCGTGATTGACCAGTAGCTAAGATACCATTTTTAAAAAACAAAACTGACTTGTCTGTTAATGTGTTGTACTGTGGTGGTTTGTGTGTTGCTGTGACACTGGAAGCTGTACCACCAGAATTTCAAATACCAGCAAGGTCACCCATGGGGGATAGGTTCATTGAGGCTTCCAGGGTAAGACAGACTTTGAAGAAAGTGGTCTATTTCTGAAAATACAAGCCACTGCAAACACAAGAATATCATTCAGTTAATTTGCTTTGGGCATGTCATCAGAATGGATTAGTCACTAGAGGGAGGATATCATGTTTGAGGAAATAGGCGGCCAGTAAGGGCATGGGAGACACTCGATGAGATGGATTGGCACAGTAGCAATAATGATGGACTTAAACATGGTGGCACAGGACTTGGCAGTTTCATTCTTTTGTACGTAAGGTCACCATGAGTCGAAGTTGACTTTGATAGCAACTAACAATAGTAAGATATTATACTTTAACTTAAGATTGTGAATGTGTTGGTGCTGTTGACCCAGGGCTACCTTCTTTTTAGCATTCTTTTTTTAAAAATTAAGTACCCTCACATAGATGATTATAGACTATTACTACCTTATAATTTTTTCATAGAGTCCTCAAATAGTGAACTTTGTCTGCCTTCAGATTGAAGAAGAGGGAAAAAACCAGGCTTTCATAGTGGAAGATAATGCCATACAATCATTGTATATGTGGCCACACACATGAACTTTTACTTTGTCTTTATCTTGCAGATTTTGAAATAAAAATATTATCATTTCATTTAAAATCAGGTTAAAAATAATTTGTCCCACTTATATTCTATAACTTACCATTTTGTGGCAGTAAACATGGTTTCCTAAGGATTGTAGTCTCTGTAAACTCTTACCAGGTTCCTCTGGGGCTGTGCATATACTTAACCACTCTATTAGAAAATTCATGTGATAAATCAGTGAAGATATTTTTTATGGTAAGAGGCTACAAAATTCTTTAGTTTGGCTAATTTTATATTGAGTGTTAATACTGTACCACATACCTGCTAGTCTCTGATGAATGGAAATATAGAGTGGGGAAGATAGATGCATAAATAATATGAAATGTGCTTTAAAAAGGGTTGTTTAAAGAACTGTGAGAGCTTGAGGTGATGATGGAACTTAGTAATTCTGTTTGAGGAGTCATTTCGGTTTACAGAAGCCAGCTGGACCTTGAAAGGTGGTAGGATTATGAACAGATAAGTTTCTCTTAATCATTGTCCAGTTTTGACATGCATATGTTAAGGAATCTTCCTCTAATACTGATGCTGCGTTCTTCATATAATCCAGCTTCTCAGATTATTTGCTCAGCATACAGATTGAATAAATATGGTGAAAGGATACAAGGATAAGAAGGTGTGGAGGCTCATGTTTCATGGTGAGTTCTAAGAGTAGTTTAGTGAGGGAATTGAGGAAAATAAGTGGAGAGGAGGATGGAAGGGTAGACTGCAGCCAGGTGTAGATGAACTATATGTTTTGCACAAGAATTTAGATTTAATTTTCTAAGCAAGACTAAGCCATCAGAACATTTTAAAAGAAAATTCAGGTCAGCTCACTGATTCTTAAGTCAAAGATTACTCATAGTCTCTGCTAGTGGGCCAATAGAATACATGTTTTTTGATGTATGATTGAGTAGAACATAGGATACAACAGCATGGAAAGCAGCCTTTATTAAAGTTGTAAATTTAATGTGATAAAATTGTGTAAGTTATCAAAATAGTCTGTAACATATTTCAACAAGTATGTTATAAATTTGGATGCTGTTACCATGGAAACTGGAATTTTGTAGCCTTTCTATATTTCAGTGAAAATAACACATGCAAGTACACACACACACACACACACAGTGGGATTGGGAGAATTATTTCTTGTTTATAACTATGATGATATCAAATGTATAAACTAATCTTAGTTTAAAACTCCTCTCCAAATTAAATATTTATCAATAAGTGATAGTTATTAGTGATCATGTAACAAATTAACATTCGTTGTTGATCACATTTGAATTATAAGATCAGCAGGGTTTATTTTGTTTTTGTTTTTCAGATAATTTGATACTCATTGTAACTGCTCAGCTTTGGCAGTGTTTATAGGAATAGGGATGAGTCTAGCCTTGATAATTTAAAAAGGCACTTATTTTGTTAACTATATATAAGATACTCCATAAAAGGAGTTAACAAGTATAGTTTCTACTTTCTGGTATAATAGGAGATACCACTGAGAGAAAAAGCACACAGATATATGAAAAAATATACTATTGATTTGTTGTTGTTGTTATGTGCTGTCGAGTCGGCCCCGACTCATAGCGACCCCTCCTTGGGTTTCCGAGGCAGTATCGCTACGGAAGTAGGATTGCCCAACCTTCCTTCCGAGGAGTGGCTGGTGGGTTTGAACCGCCAGCCTTCTGGTTAGCAGTCAAGTGCTTTAGCCACTATGCTACCAGAGCTCCTATACTATTGATACCAAGTAAAAATATACTAATAAAAATTAGTGAACATGCAAATTCCATGTTGAAATGGATGGAGTTGAGAGGGATATGATTGCCATCTCTTCCAGTTAGTGGTAAAAAAAATTATGAAAATTTATGTGGTGAATTTCCAGAAATTTCCTAAAGGAAGAAAAAGATTTACAGAGCTGTAGAGGAAAGACATACTCATAGATATGCATTTACTCACTCAGGAAACACTTACGGGCATGTTATCTCCCTGTGATTGTGCTGGCACTGGGGATACAGAATGAGAAGGAGTAGTAGTTCAGTAGGATAACGAGACACAATGACTCTAGAGTCTAGACTTGGCTTTAGCTGGTAGTTACCTTTGAGAAGGAAGAAATAGTGGGAAAAGTAGTTGATCCTTATTTTTTCAAAAAATGCTAACTGGAAATTATCCTGGTTTTAGGCACTAAAACAGAGAGAAGCAATCCTGAAACTGATACTGAAAAATGAAAATGTAAGTAGAAAGTTACATTTTTTTTTCCCCATCCTGTATTTATGTTCATAAATCGTGTCACAGAGAAAGGTAAAACAAACCTGAGCATAATACAGCTTTGAACTGTAAAACTCTAAACTGCTCATGTAATTCAGTAACTATGATATGTTACTCTTAAGTGCTATTGAGTCATTTCCAACTCATCGTGACCCTGTGACAGCAGGACAGAACACTGCCTGGTCCCGCACACCCTCACGGTGGTTGCTGTGCTTGAGCCGTTGTTGCAGCCGCTGTGTCTGTCTGTGTCATTGAGGGTCTTCTTTTTCGCTGACTCTCTGCTTTACCAAGTGTGATGTCCTCCTCCAGTGAATGGTCCCTCCTGATAACATGACCAAAGTATGAGAAAGTCTAAGGGGCGTTCTGGCTTTACCTCTTCCAAGACAGATTTGTTTGTTCTTTTGGGAGTCCGTGGTATATTTATTATTTTTTGCCAACACTATAAGTTAAATGCACCAATTCTTCTTCAGTTTCTCTTAATCATTATCGAGTTTTGACATGCATGTGTTAAGGAATCTTCCTCTAATATTGATGCTGCGTTCTTCATATAGTCCAACTTCTCAGATTATTTGCTTAGCATACAGATTGAATAAATATGGTGAAAGGATACAACCCTGATACACACCTTTCCTGATTTTAAACCATGCGGTATCCTCTTGTTTTGTTCTTGGCGTGTATGCAGGTTCCTCATGAGCACAATTAAGTGTTCTGCAGTTCCTATTCCTTACAATGCTATCCATAATTTATTATGATCCACACAGTCAAATGCCTTTGCAGAGTCATTATAACACAGGTAAACATCTTTCTGGTATTATCTTTTAGCCAAGATCTGACATTAGCAGTGATATCCCTCATTCCAGGTCTCCTTCAGAATCTGGCTTGAATTTCTGGCAGTTCCCTGGCAGTATACTGCTGCAACTGTTTTTGAATTATTTTCAGCAAAATTTTACTTCCATGTGATATTAATGATATTGTTAAATATTTCTGCATTCTGTTGTATCACCTTTCTTAAGAATGGGCACAGATACGGATCTCTTCAAGTCAGTTGGCCAGATAGCTGTCTTCCAGATTTCTTGGCTAGATGAGTGAGTGCTTCCAACCTTGCATTAGTGTGTTGAAACATCTCAATTGGTATTCCTTCAACTCCTGAAGCCTTATTTTTTACCAGCGCCTTCAGTGGAGCTTGGACTTCTTACTTGAGTCCCATCAGTTCTTGATCATATGCTATCACCAGAAATGGTTAAATGTCAACTATTTCTTTTCGGTACTGTAACTCTCTGTGTTCCTTCCAATTCTTTTGATGCTTCCTGCATTGTTCCATATTTGGCCTATGGAGTCCTTTAGTATTATAACTTGAAGCTTGAAATTTTTCTTAAGTTCCTTCAGCTTGAGAAATGCTGAGTGTGTTTTTCCCTTTTGATTTTCTAACTCCAGGTCTTTTCACATATCATTATAATACTTTACTTTGTCTTCTCGAGCCTGCTTTGAAATAGTTTCTTTAGCTCCTTTATTTCATCATTTCTTCCATTTGCTTTAGCTACTCTCCATTCAAGGACAAGTTTCAGAATCTCCTCTGACATTCATTTTGTCTTTTCTTTCTTTCCTGTCTTTTTAATGACCTTTTGCTTTCTTCATATATTATGTCTGTGATGTCTTTCAACAACTCGTCTAGTCTTTGGTCATTGGTGTTCAGTGCTTCAAATCTCTTTTTCAGATGGACTCTAAATTCACACGTGATAAACCCAAGATTGTATTTTGGCTCTTGTTGACCTGCTTTGATTTTCTTTAGCGTCATCTTAAGCCTGCATTTGAGCAATTGATGGTCTCTTCCGCACTGGTCTCTAGCCTTGTTCTGACCAGGGATGTATTGATTGTCCTGATCTGAACATTCTGATGTTGGGCTTCTGCATCATCTCTTTCCACAGATGTAGTCGATTTGATTCCTGTGTTTCTCTCTGAGGGGGCCCACGTGTATAGTTGGTATTTATGTTATGGAAAGCGAGTAAGTTGTTGGTCTTGCAGATATTTATCACATGATCTCCTGTGTCATTTCTATCACCAAAGCCTTATTTTTCAACCACCAATTCTTTGTTTTCAACCATCACATTCCAATCAACAATAATTAACAGTGCATCTTGATTGCATGCTTGACGGATTTCAGATTGCAGATGTTGGTAAAAATCTTCAGTTTCTTTGGCTTCAGCGGTTGGTGTATAAGATTTAATAATAGTCATATTAACTAGTTTTGCCTCTAGGTGTATGGATATTATCCTATTACTGACAGCATTGCACCTCAGGGTTAATCTTGAAATACTCTTTTTAACAATGAATGTTACATCATTCCTCTTAAACTTACCATTCCTGACATAGTAGACGATATGATTGTCTGATTCAAAATGGCCAGTACCAGTCCATTTCCGCTTACTCATGCCTAGGATATTGAATGTTATGTGTTACATTTCATTTATGACAACTTTTGGGTTCCTAGTTTCATATTTCATACATTCCGTGTTCTGTTTATTAGTGGATATTTGCAGCTTTTTTTTTTTTTCCTCAGTTTGAGTCAAGCCACATCAGCAAATGAATTTCCTGAAAGCTTTACTCAATCCACATTATTACTCCTAGGAGGCCACTGTTTTTAATCATATTTTGAGTGCCAACCTGAGGGTTCATCTTCTGGTGCTATATCAGATATTTCACTGCTATTCATAAGGTTTTCAGTGGCCAGTTCTTTCATAAGTAGACCACCATGTCTTTTTCTTCCATGTATGTCTCTGTCTGGAACACTACTGAATCCTTTCTCCCATGGGTGACCATGTTGACATTTGAAATACCAGTGGCATAGCTTCCCAGCACCACAGCAACGTGCAAACTACCATAGTATGACAAACCTATCGGTGAATGGTGGACAACTATGATGTATTGGTATATTTGAACTAATTGGAGGTAATATGTAAGTTTTTAAAAAGCTAGGTGTTTTTGTATCTATAGACTAATTTGCTCTTTGATATTTTTCAAACTATTCTCATCATTTATTTTTGTATAGAAGTTTTATTTTTAAAACCTTGTTTTGATATTTTTTTCCTTGTCAAAATTTTCATTTAACAGGTGTGGTAATCAAAATCTTCAGTACTTTTGCTTTTAAGTTTTTTAATAGGTAATATAATCATATGGTTCAAAACTTAAAGTATATTAAATGGTATATAGGGAAATAATCTTCTGTCTCTCTTCAGATTGGTATTATGCCTATAGAAACGAATTAGTATATCCTGGATTCCCTTCCTCCCTTTTTTACATAGCATATTCTTAAACCATGCACACCGTTCTGTGTGTTGCATTTTCACTTATCTTTGTGATCTTTTCATATTGGCATATAGTTTCCTTATTCCTTTTTAAGAAACTGCATATAGTATTATTCCATTGCATGGATATACCATAATTTATTTAATCAGTGTTATAGTGAAGGGCATTCAGTTTCTAGTCTTTTCCTTATTATAAAAAACACTACATTGAATGATCCTATGTCATTCCACACTTATGCAGCAGTGTTGTTGTTATGTGCCATCGAGTTGGACCCAACTCATAGCGACCCCTTCTTGGGTTTCTGAGGCAGTATCACTACAGAAGTAGATTGTCCCATCTTCCTTCTGAGGAGTGGCTGGTGGGTTTGAACCGCCAGCTTTCTGGTTAGCAGTCAAGTGCCTGAGGCATGATGCTACCAATATTAGCAGGATGAATTTTCCACAAGAGTAATTCTTATGTTACATGATACGGTATTTATAATTTTGGTACCTATTGCCAAAATAAATAATTAATAAACCTATTACTCGGTAGGAAGGTTGGGCAATCCTACTTCCGTAGTGATACTGCCTCGGAAACCCAAGGAAGGGTCGCTATGAGTTGGGGCCGACTCGACGGCACATAACAACAACAACAACATTGCCAAAGTATACATGTCAGTTTATTCTTATATCAGCAATATTAGGGTGCTGTTTTCCCTATAGTCTTGCCAACAAAATGTTGTGGGACTTTGTACCAACATGGCAGGAAATGATCTCTCTCATGATAGTTCTAATTTGCATTCTTTAAGGATGAAATGAGCATTACATGTGTAAAAGCCAGTTGACTTTCTTTTTTTTGAAAATACCTGCTCATATTCTTTGCCCTTCTATTAAAATATTCTTTCTATTACAATATTCTTTTTCTTAACAGTATTAAAGGAGCTCTTTATGAATTAAGGATATTTGCCTTTTGCTTGTCATATGATTCAAAGATATTTTTCAAGTTTGTCCTTTGATTTTACTTTTCTTTCTTATATGACTTCAGTGTTTTGAATCTTAATTAAAAAGGTCTTTTCCATATTGTAGCTATAAAGAAATTTTCCATATTTCCCAAGCTCTTGCTACTTAATTTTCTAAAACTCAGTAACCAACTATATTTGAATAACATGATAGTCTTCAGTATCCCAAATATGATATCTAAACTCTGTGTTTGAACTCATTGTACCACCTCAGAAACCCTAGGAGGGGTCACTATGAGTCAGAACTGACTCGATCGATGGCAGTGAGTTTGGTTTTTTGATTTGTGCAAACTAAAAAAACCAAAAAGATACTATACAGAGGAATCTTTGCATTTCTGTGGTTTCTTTTCTTCCTTGATCGACTGTTAATCCCATAGCTAATTTTGCTCCTATACTGTATCCATTTTCCCTTTCCTGTCTTTCCCATCATATCTCATCTGTAAATGTTTTTGTTGTATCTCTAAAAAAAAAACCTGTCTTCTCTTTTTAACGTTCTAGTACCATTATTACACTGCACAGAAAATTAACAGTAATTCATTATTTTCATTGAATATCTAATCAGGGTTTCCTAAAATATTTTTAAAAATCATTTATTTGTTTGATGCAGGATCTGTGTAAAGTTGACATACTGCAGTTTTAAAATATTTTTTAAGTCTATTTTAAT